CATAGGGCAAAATTCGACCATTTGATTTTTTTTCCCTATAACAAATACACTGTTCTTTATGCTCATAAAAATAATACATGTTCATTGTAAAAATTCAGGAAATAGAGGGGCGCCTGGGTGGCGCAGTCGGTTAAGTGTCCGACTTCAGCCAGGTCACGATCTCCCGGTCCGTGAGTTCGAGCCCCGCGTCGGGCTCTGGGCTGATGGCTCAGAGCCTGGAGCCTGTTTCCGATTCTGTGTCTCCCTCTCTCTCTGTCCCTCCCCCGTTCATGCTCTGTCTCTCTCTGTCCCAAAAATAAATAAACGTTGAAAAAAAAAATTAAAAAAAAAAATCAGGAAATAGAGAAAAGCTTAAAAATCACCTATCAGCCCACAATCCAAGTTAACCTTGAGTCACAATTTTTATACCCTGCAGACTTCCACGGCGAGTATACTTATATGGGTTTTTTGGTGTCCGTGATGGAATTGAACAAATCGTGTGATTTTTTTTAAACCGCTGTTTCTCACCTAAGTTAATTCAACCTTCACTTTTCAGTTGCACTCTGTCGGGGCCGCCAAGAGTCTTTGAGATTTTGAGATAACATGAGCATTGTCTTGGCATAAAAACATCTTGTGCAGGACGCTTGCTTCTGGTTTTGGTGGAAACCTAACAGCACGGCGGTTAAGTGCACGAGTCACGGGGTCAGATTTCTGGGACTGGAGTCCCTGCTCTTCCGTCACTGGTTTGTGACCCTGGGCGCCACCTCCCTCCCCTGTGTCTCTCTTCCTTCACCAGTAACGTGGGGGTGCTAACTGTAGCCGTTTCGTGGGGTTGTGGGTGAAGTAGACGAGGTAAACACCTGTCCAGTGCCGAGAACAGCGCCACGGGAGTGTCAGCAGGAGAATCATCGTGGAGGTTGGTGGCCAGTTTGGAAGACTGACTTGTATCTTTAAGTCCCTCCACCGCCCCCGTCAGTGGTACTTGCTCACGTGTTGCTTTGCTGTATTTGGTAGATCTCTTCAGTGTTGGCTACTGTCATTTTCATCATCTCTTCGAGTGTCGCCTACAGGAAGTGTTCTCAGCATCAGAAAGCGTCACAGGGGTGCGTTTCAAGTCCTGGGGAGCAGATTTATGGTCCAGTGACTCTTGTGGATAACTGTTGGGAAGGAATAGTTAAACCAGAATAAAATCTAGATGGAATTACGGAAGCCAGCAGCAGACTAAAGAAAAATATGCTCGAACATTTTTTTTAATGTTTATTTATTTGGGGGGGCGGAGGGGGTACGAGCATGAGCAGGGGAGAGGTGGGCAGAGGGGAAGAGAGAGAATCCAAGCAGTCTCCACGCCGTCACCGCAGAGCCCGATTCAGGGCTCCATGCCGTGAACCGTGAGATCATGACCTGACCTGAAATCAGGAGTTGGACACTTAGCCGACTGAGCCACCCAGGCGCCCCTGCCTGTACGTTTTTAAACGCTAGCATGAGGAAGGCTTCTAAGCGTGATCCTAAAGCTGTAAAACTTAGTAAAAGAAAATACCGATTGATCTGACAGTACATAAATTAAAGAAGGTAAAGTGAAAAACTCTGTCCTGTAAGAGGATGCCATGAGCATAATCCTGAGCTGGGGCGGCTTCCCACCTGGGGTAGCCTTCTGTGAATCTGTCCATAAAGGTGCGAGAAGGTCCTGAGGCCCCTCTTCTGCAGTGGTCACCCTAGTGGGCATATTGATTTACTAATTAGGCTGTGATTTCACCTTATTGGCAGTGAAAGTGGCATCTGCCCATCCTGCAGGGCAATCCAGCCTGGTAACCGAGGGGGGTTATTCAGCCTTCACTACAAGGGAGTTCCCTGTGGTTAGATAAACTGATCTGTTGCTTGGTAACTGCGGGATTACTCTGGTGGACTGGGAAGTCCATTTGAGAGGGGTTTGAGTATTTGGAGGGCAAGAAAGTTGGCAAGTCCCTGGGAGAAGTGCCGCTTGGCAGGAGAAGGAGTCGAGAGGCCACATGCGCCCAGCGCGGGCCTGGGTTTAGAACGTTCCACCTTCCCATCTGTACTTCGCCTTCTCGGCACTGGGCCTCAGAACAAAGGAACAGCAGACAGCCAAGCCGGGTCCTGTTGCTCCCACAGCGGTGGGGAAAACCCTGCGGGGTCGACCCTGAGGTTCGGGGCCTGGGGAGGTGGTCTGGGTCTGAACGACGAAACCCCGCTTGCCCTCTGGACCACCAGGAGCCTCGGAGCTTGGGTTTGGGTCCCAGGTCGAAAGTACGTTGCCTAGAAGGAGATGCTAAGATAGGACGTTTTGAGCTCAGAAGCTGAAGGCAGGCAGGACCATCTCCCAGAGGCACTTCCAACGTGTCCCCCACCACGGTGTGGACCCGAAGGTCCTTAATAACCCTGCCCACTCAGTGCCGTGCTGCACCTGCCGGGCAGGAGGGACCTCGCGCTGCCCGGGACCCAGCTGTATGTGTCTGGGGAGGGACAGGGACGGAAGGGCGCCCGTGTGGTGCCCCCGTCGGTGTGGTCTCCCGCACCGACCCTCCGGCTCCGTCTGCAGGACCGCCAGCCTGCGCCTGAGCCTGCAAGGGTGCCGCTCCGGCTGTCTGTGCCTGCTCTGTCGGCAGTTAGGGTATCAATCGCCCCGATCAGGTTCTGGTTATTTATTTTGCTCTAGCGGAGGCAGGAGCAGTCACAGAGCCGATGCTGGGGAGGATATTTTGACTGAAATTTTGCATATTTTGAAACTCGGGTTGTTAGATTTAAAATTATACACATTGTGAGTACTTGGCTTCAAACGGGGAAGAGGAAGCATTTCTTCCTGTCAGAACCTTCTCACTCCGTCTGTCATGTAACCCGACTAAAAATAAACTACAAGCACAAGGACTGGCAGCCTTCAGTTTGGAACAAGTTTAGTGCCCTCAGCTGCAGGCCTGGCTCCCGCCGCCTCCCAGCCACGCGCCAGCCCCCCGCCCCCCCCCCCCAGGTGCGGCCCCCTCCGCCGGGCACAGCAGGGTGCATGGTCCACCACCCCGGGGAGTTAGGATGAGTGCCCTGCAGGAGAAGGGGGTGCAGCCCCAAATGCCCCGGCCTGGGCATCAAGGGCCCCCGGGGTCAGGCCTGGCTCCCGTGTGGCCTTGGAGAGCCTCTCGGTTGGCACCTCCGGACCTCAGTTTCCTCATTTTTAACTGATTGACCGAAATCCACATGCCAGCCACCCGCTAGCCGCCTGTGCGTCTCTAATCCTTCCAGCACCTGTGAGCTTTGTTCAGGTGAGGAGACCAAGCGGAGAGCCTGAGCTGTGTCATTCGGCCTCCTCCGTCGTCAGCCCTCCTCGTTGGCCCCACTTGCCCCTTCCTCCTCTGTCATCCGGGTGCTGCCCCCACCGTCCCCCTGCAACATTCTCATGTGAGCACAGAACTCCCCCGTGTCTGGCCGTGGTTCTCTGCCACCCTGGCTCCTGCCAGATCTTCCTAAGTGTTTGTCCCTGGACCCGCAGCCTGCTGGGAGGAGCGTAGGCCTCAGTCCATCCGACCTGTGTTTGCATCTCCGCTGCTGCACCTACGAACTCGATGGTCTTGGGCAAAGTACTTAACGCTCCTCCAGAATAGTTTCCTTGTCTGTGAAACGAGGCTGCTGTCCTCCCTCCTTTGTCCAGTGGACGGCATGACTGTGGAACCCCGAAAGTACTTCCTTGTTTGCTCCCAGTCTCGCAGGGCGCTGTCACTGACGCATCCGTGCACCCTTATGGCAAAGTCTTACCATTAACCTATTCTCAGACCTTTTTTCCCAACAAAGGGTGACCGTGCGTTTCCCTGTGCGTTTCCCTGTGCGTAGAAAACCATGCTAGGCCTGTCGCACCGTTGCTTGAGCCCCGCCCTGTGGAGGAATTCGGTGTAATTGCCTTAGCCTGGTCCAGCGCTGTCACGGGACTCCACCACCTTTCCTGCCAGCTCAGGAGCGCAGTAGTGATCCCGTTGCTAATTCTTGAGTTTTCAAGGAGTTCCGTTCTATTTTGAGCACAGCTTTAGTCCACTTGAGCTCCGACGATTACCAAGAAAATGCTGTAACTATACGTTGCAGAGGGCGACGTGTGCCTTTGCAAGAACCCTAAGACCCCGCTGTCGGGAGTTGAGGGAATGGCCGGCATAGCAGTGTGGGTTCAGTGGAATGGCTCTCTTGCTCTTATTTGGGTTAAAATCCTGTCCTGGGAAACGTTTACTCTTAGACACTCATAATCATCCTTCCTGTGTACAGTTGAACTTCTACCAATTTCTCCCTCTGATCTTCTGATCAAATGGTGAGGCTGCTGTCTCTTGAAAACAGTTACTGGTATTCAACGCCTGAAATTGATTTTCAGCCTTTTGCACTTTCCTCGTGGGTTGGGGCAGGGAGCCCTCCCTCTCGCTCCGCACCCATGCCTGTGGTCGGTGGAGAGCGGTGGGCCTGGCAGATGCCATCCCGTCGGCCCATGCAGACCCTGGGTTTGGGGTTTTCAAGGTCAAAAATATCTACAGGAGGCTCTTCAGTCAGCGAAGAGGTGTCTGCGACCGACACCCCACCCCCGGGCGCTGTGTGGGCCCCGTCAGGAGGACGGGGCTTTGACCTACACGGGGCTTACTTGCCCAAAATTGCTGGCCGGCTTTCACCCACTGTATGTCGTCGAGTTTCAAGGCGGGTTTTTCCCCCCATCCTTTGGCAAACTGCTGTATCATACACTTCGTTTGCCATCAGAGTGTGAGTGCGTATCGTTCTTTTTTTTCCGTGAAAACAACACAGAACAAAGCCTCACTTTTAAAAATGCCATGATATTTTGCCACCGTTATGAAAATCTGTCAGCGCCGTATCTAATCTTCTGGTGCATAGAATATCAAAACAAGCACTATTGAAGGGATTGTACTTCTGTTAATACAAAAATGTCAGTTCCACAGTCTCGGAACCAGCTGCTACCAGCCTCTTTCCAAATGGGAAAGAAAAAAATAATAAAGTTTCCTTTTCCCCCTCTGCTGTGTTACTTTCTTCAGGCCTGACCTTCATAAGAAGACCCGGGGTAAACACCGCCTTGCTGAAATCTTGCGTTCAGAATACTCAAGTGGGATTGAGGCCAGCGTCGCCAAGGTCAAAAAGCAAAACAAACACGCGGCGCCCGGCAGCCAGCCATGCAGAGCCATCCGCACCGGGCGCCCAGCCTCTGCTGTGGGAAAACAGAAGCAGCGCTCTCCGTGCAACGGAAAAACCCAGAGAGACTGACTGGGGGCCGAGACTTCCCAAAAAAGTTTTTTGGTTTTTTGTTTTCAGCTCTGCCTCCACAGGCCTGGGGCTTGGGGTGGATCCTGGAGGCCCCGAGACCTGGGCTGACGGCCCTGTTCTTGTCAGGAGCATTGTGGGAAAGCCTGGGGCCCGCGC